AGAGTCTGCCACAAGGTAGACATACGTTGATTTTGTCATTCCACATAGCAAATGTATGTCTGCTTCTATCTCCCCTCAAAAGTCAAGAACAAAACATAGAGTGCACAATAAGTTACCCCTAAATACGTCAGCTTAAAACTGCAAACATATATTATTTCACAGAGTTTCTGAAGAATGTGGGAGAAGCTTAACTGTGTAGTTCTAAGCTCAAAGTCTGTCATGAGATTGGAGTCAAGCCTTCAGCCAGGACTGCAGTCTCCTCTGAAGGCTCAACTAGGGGTTGGGGGCAGGAGTAGGCAATGGGGGTGGATTTCCCTGTAAATTCATTTACAAGATTGAGTCAGTCTCATTTTCTCACTGGCTATTGCAGAAGAATTCAGTGCCGCATCTTCATATGGGTCTAGCTCTATAGGTTGCTTAAGTGACCTCACTACATGGTAACTGACCTCCCCCACTTCTATATATTGTTCATTGCACACACACACACACGGAGCAGGGAGAGAGAGAGAGAAAGAGAGATCAGACAATGTGGGAAGCGATCACACAAGTATGTGAATGGTAAGAGACAGAGGTCACTAGGCTGATTTGGAACCCATCTTGAGTGCTGGCTGCCATACAGAACCTAGATGTTCCCCTTTTCCTTTCACAGGTCTGGAATGGTACCTGCAGATACCAATGAGGTTAGCCACCATGAAGGAGTTTTTGACCTTCAAAGTAGGGAAATGCTGGATGACTGTGGGTATAAGTGGGATGATTTCTCCACCAAGGTCCTCTTGGGGGAAGTAACAATTTGACAGATCCCGTTGGGGACTCCTTTGAAGGATGGGGTCCCTCTGTGTCAATTTCTATCAAAAGCTTCAGGAGAGTCCCCCTCAATCTGGGAAGCAGACACCTATCTAAATCCTATCAAAAGTCCCATCCAGTTGGGATTTTAAATTTGCCTCTGTGACAGAGTTAAACCAGGATGTCTTATCTTAGAGCAAAACCTGGAACTAAAAATGTGGGGTTATTTAAAAAAAAGGAAGAAAGGAAAGGAAAAATTAAAAACAAAAGCTGGAACTCCAATGATGTGATTTTTGTTAAACAAAAATGTGTAGCCCCAAGGACATCAACACTCTAGAAAGTTGTCTTGTGATTACAGCCCATTGCCACAGGGGCAGAGGTATATTGCCTCATCCTACCTACAAAGAAAGTCTCTATATCTGAGAGAATCTGTCTGCCATCACAGGGAGTCCTTACCAAACAAGATTAAAAGAACTCATTTGGAAAGGACTTTCTTTGGAGGAGTCCCTCGGCCCTAAATGATGTGCTTGGGTTACTTTGGGGTTTTTTTCTTTCCTTTTCCACCAGCAAGAATCATCCCAACAGCCCTTTGAATTCTTATGTCTTCATTATTTTATTTCATAATTACATTCTTTGGTTTATACAATAAAGTTTTTAACATCTTGGGGCTTTTTTCCATCATGTAACTGCTGGAGTAAATGTTGCTTAGTAGCTCTGGGAGGCTTCTCGGTCACTCAGTGAACACTCAGGTTCAGAGGGAACAGATACTCAAGAGGCAAGCCCCCAGCCCAAGGGGACAGAGGGGATTTCAGAGCTTCGTTGGAGATCCATTGCCCTGACTCATTGCCCAGCTCTCCCTGCACTCATCTAGCTGCCCACATTCACAGGACATATTGCTACCTGTTCTCAATTTGCCCCTCTTTCCATGATCTTGACGCCAGGGCCCCGCCACAATTCCTCCTGTCTGGCAAATTTACTAAATCAGCTTATTTTCCATTTTCATTAGATTTGTTCTCTCGGCACATGCTCTCATCCAATGCCATGAAAAAAATCAAGGATTCCTGGAAGATACCCAAAGCTGGCTCAGAACTCATCCTGCCTCCTTTTCCAATTACCTCTCCAGCATTGGAGCCAGCAGTGCTTGATCAGCTTCCCAAAGCCCACTCAGCAGGTCACTTGATTTGCTCTCTGCCATTCCTCTCTACCTCCCCAGGTCCCTCTGGAGGAGATGTGAAGCAAGATTTTGATAGGTACAGAGACATGCCCTCATTCCTAATGGAAACCCAAGCATTTTGAAGATGTCAATTCCTTCATGAACTTTATTGGTTTAATGCCACCCCTTATGCATTTTTAAATGGTTACCAAAACTAGCCATATGTTTATCTGGAAGAACAAACATGTAATAGCATGCAAAAAAAAATTTGGAAGAGTAGTAAGTGGAAATTTGACCCATTAATACCAAAACTTTATAAAGGTTCAAGTAGACAGTAGGTAACGAGTTTGAGCAGAAAGTGCGTCCACTGTTGAGATCTGGCTATATCTTGGCATAAAGTCTGATAACTCAGTGGACTCACCAAACTGGAATATTTTACTTGGGGACAGAGAGGGAAGAGTGGAGGGCAGGATGGAGCTGATGCATGGTATGTGCCTCAGATTCTGGTCTTCCTGACTGAGTCCCACAATGAAGAGGCTGTTGGCAGTGAGATTCTGGAAGACACATTCTGGAAGACAGCAGAACATAGTACTGTTTGGGGGCTCCTGGTACGGAGTGGAGAAGAGAGTATTCCCATCTTGCTTAAGAAATATAATCTGGTTCTAATATAGTGAGAGCTACATGAAATGTCAATGTTCTAGCACCTGGCCAGCTTAACTTCTGAAGCCCTAGAATGGGTCCTTTCCACTGACACAGGGGAAGCAGAACAGCCAGGCCCCATGATCATTAAGCAGGAAGAGAAGAACTAAAGAGGACTATTCAGGAACCTAAATGATAACCCCTCAGAGACTCACAGAGAATCTGCACTATGCAGATGGTGGCAGGACTCATATGTCTTTATGTGGATTCATTGTACTCACAGAATAGGGATTTCTGGTGAAATAGGATTATAAAGAAGGCAAACTATGCTACCAAGTACAACATGAAAAGAGAGATTTAGTGATTCATAGCCATGTCATACTAATATTCCCTACTAATATTCTTTGATAGTCTTCTAAGGGAAAAATAAAAATTTAAAAGATGGTAGAAAACCCCAAATCCATAAAAATTGGGTTAACTATCAGTTTCCTAAGGTTGCCATTAACAAAGCACCACAAATTAGTGGCTTAACACAGAAATTTATTCTTTCAGAGTTCTAAGGCTACAGTCTGAAATCTAGGTGTCAGTTGGGCCACTTAACCCCTGCATCTCTGGGCAGTGCCTCCTCCCCTCCTCCTAGCATCTGATGGTGGCCATTAATCCGCAGTATCCCTGGGCTAGCAGCTACTGCACTCCCACCACAAGGGCTCTCCCTGCATGTCTCTGAGACACATAGTGTTGTCCTCTTATAAGGACACCAGTCATGTTGAACTAAGACCCACCCTAATGGATTTGTCTTAACCTGAATCCATGTTTAAAGACCCTATTTCCAAACAGACACTCACAATTACTGGAGTTAGGATTATATCAACATTCCTTTTTAAAAGGAATGACTGTGGAGGAAGGGGAACACAATCTAACCCAAAAGGGGGGAGGGGAACACAATCTAACCCAAAACCAGTATATTATGGTGCGTTTATGTGTGCTGGAGTATTCTGTAGGTATTTCAAAGGGGCCTGTGAAATGAACCTATGCTGTTACAAGTCAGGATAAAGGTGCCTCCCTGGTGGCTCAAGGGGTTAAGCGTCAGCACTATGAAGCTATCCACAGCTACTGCAGAAAGCGTTCCATCCCAGGCCAGGGAGGTGACCCGCATGGCGCAGCAGACCTCTCCTATCTCACCCGCTGCTCCCTTCAGCAGTGTATTTCATTCAGCCCACCTGTTCTGCTCCCTACTCTATCTCTGGTGAATCCTCTCACCACCACCCCCACCCCGCCCCGCACCTCTGGCCTACACCCCACTCTTGTATGCATAAATAAATAAATCTTAAAAGAAAAAAGAAGTCAGGATAGAAGGACAATGTAATGTCTGCCCTCAAGGACTGAGATGACTGGACTAAACCATTTGGAGAGCTTTAGAGGTGTTAATAATATTATCTCTCTTGATCAGGTAGCTGGTTACATGGGTGTGTTCAGGTGGTAAAAGTTTATCCAGGTGTATGCTTAGGAAATGTGCACTTTTCTGTAGGTATAGTATATATTCCAGTGAAAAGTTAATTAGGACATAGTGCTATAAAGATGTATTGATTGACATGAAAAGCTAAATTACTGAGTGGAAAAACAGTGGGTTTCAAACCATATTACAATGTGATTCCATTTGGAGGGGAAATTTGTACACGCATCTATAGAAGGAAATGTCTGGAGGGTCAATTCAGAATGGAAATAAAAGTATTCATACCTTTATTTCAATTATTTGTTGTTTCCCGATTTCTAAAAATGAACCTATATTATTTGAATTCAGATTTCATAAATGAGAAAAAGGTAAGTTCATCATTAACACTGAATAGGAGATTCACCTATTAGGAAAAAATATTAATTTAGGGCCTCTCCAGTGGCACAGCAGGTTGAGCGAGGCACTGTGAAGCTGTCCACTGCCTCCGAGGAGCCAGTTCAATTCCCACCCTGCCGGGGAGATTCCCACATGGCACGGCAGACCTCTCCTCTCTCACCCGCTGCTCCCCTCAGCAGGGTATTTCGGTCCTTCTGCCTGTTGTGCTCCCTGCTCTGTCTCTGTGGATTCTCTCACGCTCCCGCACCACTGGCCTGTACCCCAGTGCTTATATAAATAAATAAATCTTTTTAAAAATGTATTAATTTAGATCATTATCTCACGCTATATTCCAAAAGGCACATAGAAAGATTAATGAGCTAAACTCAATGTTAAAAACTGAAAGAAAACTTGAATAAAAATTTATTTGATTTCATAGTGAAGAATTTTACTAGGTTGGTGGAGGGAGGAAGATGAGAA